CTTTGCCATGTAGAGGAAAAGCCGGAACTTAAGAAAACAGCACAGAACATTTTTCTTTCCTTTCTAGATTGCAAGTAGTGCTGTTTGGACACTTTGTGACCTGCCATACTCGTGAAAGTAAATTATGGAAGAATATGCTTCAAAAACTGTTTTCTCTTTTTGATGAATCTTCTGCGGATCAGCAGGTTTATTCAGAGTTACTTAAAAAGCAGTTAACATTCCATTAGCAACAAACTGTGATCTGTGTCAGCAGCAAGGCACTGCTCAGCCATTTATTTTGGAATGAGCATTCACTGCGGGGAGAAATGCAATTATTAAACACCTCACTAGCAAACCATGGCAAAACCAGGGAGTTTCTTTGTCATTTGAAATATTAAGGCATCTTAGGAACCTTTATTAATATCTTGAGATTTTTATTTCGTTCTGCTGTTTGCTGCATGTAAGGCAAAAGGCCATCTCACGTTTCGATTTCTTTAGATAGTTTGGGTTTGTGATGAAAAACAAAAGTGCATGTTCACATTTGACTGCTGCTGTGCCACTTTATGCAAGCAGGAACATTGTTGGTTCAGCATTATGTCCTCGGTCAACCTGGATTTGGTGCCAATAATATCTTCCCTTGCCGCCTGCAGTGGAAATGTATCTAGTCCCATGGCTCAACCGACTCCTTACTAGATCATGATTACTCTATGATGTGCTTAATGCAGCCTTTATCTCTCAATTTTCCTGACTCAGACAAAATCCATGCTGACACATGAGCTAATGTTAGGCTCTCGTTGTTCTTGAAGGGCAAGTTTGATGCTCTAAGTCCTTTCTGATACAAGTGAGATCAGGTATCTGACCTGGAAATCCAAAAACTTTCTGACTCATGCAGCAGCAAAACCCGTTCCATGCAGGGCAGCAGACATCCTGAAAGCATCTCCGTGATATCCTTGTCATTCTCCTGTGTCTTGTGCCAGATTGCTCAGCCAAACATTAAATAATCAGAAGGTTCAGTGCTGCTGCATCGCTTTGAAGACAGGGCTGTGACTGCACAGTCCTGCAGCGCTCTAGCGCAGACTGTCCCCGCTACCAGACATGCTTGCTGTCATATAAAACCAGCAGCTCAATAGCTGGGAGCAATGTCAAGAACTGGACTGTATTTTTGTAATAAATTTAAATGTAGACTCAATTCCCGGAGAAGTTCAAGCAGAAAATAAAATAATCCCAAAGTAACAACTGTATTGTGGCTTGACAAGATTTTAATCTTTATTTAATTATTCAGAGAGATGAATCAGAGGGATGAGTCATTATAAAGAAACATAATGAGACAAAAAAGGGAGGAAGAAATATAAATAAATAGGTGGTGGCTATACTGGCTAGCCAACTAGTACTTTTCATAAGCCACTAAGAAGCAGAGGAACAGCTGGCTCATGTATCACATAAGACTATGATTAATACATTTGCCTTAAATGATATATTCACTTGAAAAAACATGTTTATTTTGTGGTTTTGATATTTATATTATACAGTGGGGTTGTTTTAAACAATTTAAGTCTCTAACCAGAATTAGTTATTATAAGAATTATTATTTCTAATATTAATACATTCCATTACATTGGATTAAATTCCATTCTGTTACTGTACATAATACATTAAGGACAAGTGCAGGGTCCTACACCTGGGGAGAAATAACCCTAGGCACCAGTACAGATTAGGGGTCGACCTGCTGGAGAGCAGCTCCATGGAGAGGGACCTGGGAGTCCTGGTTGACACCAAGTTAACCATGAGTGAGCAGTGTGCCCTCGTGGCCAAGAAGGCCAATGGGATCCTGGCCTGCATCAGGAGGAGTGTTGCCAGCAGGTCAAGGGAGGGGATCCTGCCCCTCTCCTCAGCTCTGGTGAGGCCGCACCTGGAGTACTGTGTGCAGTTCTGGGCTCCCCAGGATAAGAGGGACGTGGAGCTTCTAGAGAGGGTCCAGCGGAGAGCAACAAAGGTGATTAAGGGACTGGAACATCTCTCGCATGAGGAAAGACTAAGAGACCTGGGCCTGCTCAGCCTGGAGAAGGTTGAGAGGGAATCTGATTAATATGTATAAATACATGAAGGTTGAATGTAGGGATGAAGGGGCCAAACTTTTCTCTGTGGTGGCCAAGGACAGGACAAGGGGCAATGGATATAGGTTGAAACAAAGGAAGTTCCATCTGCATGTGAGGAAGAACTTCTTTCCTGTGGGTGCCAGAGCCCTGTGGTCCTCTGTGGTCCTCTGGTTCACAGAGTGCCAGAGCCCTGGCACAGGCTGCCCAGGAAGGCTGTGGAGTCTCCTTTTCTGGAGATCTTCCAAACCCGCCTGGATGCCGCCCTGTGCCCCGTGCTCTGGGTGTCCCTGCTGGAGCAGGGCGGGTTGGACTGGATGATCTCTAGAGGTTCCCTCCAACCTCAACCATTCTGTGATTCCTATTTCTGTAAGATTCTGCTGTATCTGAAAATAGGTTAATGTGAGGATTGATACTCCTTTTTTTCATCCTTTTCAGGAGGTGATTCATCCTGAAAGGTGACTCCAATGGGGAGAAACAAAGTTTATTTTCTTAGTTTTATTACTGTTTGTCCTGGAGCAGCATAAGGGCTCAGAAAACATGGTGAGCACTTCTTTAAAAGCCATCATGTCAAGGATGTGTTCATCACTCTACCATCTCTTTTTAACATTTTTTCTGATAATAGTTAGTAACTTAAAATGAGCACTAACCTAAATAATTTGGGCTTCCTTTCTGAGACCTGAACCTTGACTGCAATACCTATTTCCGATACTTACTGTCCTTGGCACATTACATTTTTAAGGTGTAGTGTGAGCACCTTGTCCTACTTCTCTGAAGCTGTTATTTACTGGAGGGTCTAAAAAGGAGGGAAGAGGGTCTAAAGACTTTGGAGGAAATTTTTTAACATAAGCAGTATTTCATGACAGTTAATTTCTTTCAATGAATTGAAACTCCATGATCTTCAATTATGGCTGAGCAATTCTAGTAAACGATCTTAGAAAGAGCAAAGAGTGAATAAAATTGATCATTCTGGAAATCTTCCAGTGCTGCTGCTTAGGAAGTCATTTTTTAAAAGCTATACAGACTAAGAATTAGTTCATGAATTAAAAAGAACACAGTCACATCACTGATGAATGTAGAAAATATGAAGTCAGGAAGTAAAAAGGAATTTGCTTTTAACAGACCATGTATATAGTCAGTGGAATCCATAACTGCGTGTAGATAATATATAAAAGATTGTGGACAAGCACACAGATCTTTATTTGAATCACCTTTGAAAGTAACTCCTTGATATCAGAAAAAATATTCTTGGCTCAGTTGAAGCCATATAAGAAATAAGAAAACGTAACATATTTATTAATTCAATGGTCCATTCAATAACATATGTACTGTGTAAATATTTGTCTATGGAATTTTTAAAATGTGTGAATATGTGACAGAACTTGAAAACTTACTACCTGTAACAGCAGGTAAAAGAAAGCTATTTGTGAAATAAAATACCTGAACAGCATTTAATTGTTGATTTTTCCCGTGTTCTCACTGTGCATCAATCTCCCATAGATGTACCAAGTTTAGATCATCTTGCACAAAGGTGTCATTTTAAGAAAAAAAAAGCAAAACTTTTAAAAAGCAGAACAAGGAAAACAAGCCTTTTAAAAAAGGAAATTGGCACTGAAATATTTCCCAAACATCAAAAGCAGTAAGAAGTTGTGAAAACATTGCACATTTAAATTCTGACTTCCTACAATCAGGGAAAAACTTCCTTTGTTCATATATATGGAGACAGTACTTTCCTGTGAAATCTGGTGCTATTTGTGGTCCTAGTAGATAAGATGAATAATATGACATTAACTTCTGAATATCTTTTAGATAGATATAGGTTATCACTACTGACAATACCTTTCCTGTGTTGGGCACTGAGTTCATACAGCAAATTTTATTCTCATTTCAGATTAGCTGGTTTCTCATCATAATGGGTTCCATTAAAAAGTATTGTAACTGTTTTATATTTTCCCGAGTATTTTGTAATAGCTTCTCTAAAATGTGTAGGATAAACAAAATCACCGAGCACACTGCTGTCTAATGGTGCTATTGATGCTCATTTTCACTCACTCACATAGATAGTTCGCAGGTTCCCCATACCTCAGCAATGATGTTCGTTCTATATTTGTGCCAGGAAAGCACTTACTATGCTCCAAGCCATTTTTTTAAAGTACATTCCACTATTACAATAAAGACACAAATACAATTGACATTTTAAAAGAAAGAAATGCAAAAACAATCTCAATGAAGAAAGAAGGTAACAGATTCAGCCCGAGATCTTTCAAACCACGGCTGCACAGATTTAAATTCCAGTATTACATCAGGAACTAAGAGAACCTGAGCATCCATATAAAGAAAGTTGTGGATGGGAAGAATGGTAATGGAAGAACAGTATGTGTTGCACCTCTGATTTACTTTAGAAAAATGTAAAATCTGACTGCATTCTTAACTGACTTTTCATGGCTTCCTGTATTTCAACATTCTAAAGCACACTGTAAAACTTACTCAACATGTCAATAATGAGGGAATAATCCCATGTTATCCAGAATTTTGAAGTGTTATGGGATGAATAGGTTAGGATTGTTAGTTTATACAATGCAGAGATGTCAGCTTTAATTAAATTTTCAAAATCAAGACCATCTGAAAGTCATTCAGTCTCCGAGCTGGTGATATGGGAACCAGATTAATCTTAGAAAAACACTGCAAACTTTGGGTGCACATTTCACCATGAGACAGGCATTGGTTTGCTTGCTTGATGTGTATGAGTTTAATGCATTCATTGCTAATTACACAGCAATTAAGGTCATAAAAATAAGAGCATTACCGGAGTTCAGGCACTGTGATGACTCCACATAAAATGTAAAATCAATGCATATCATGTCTGCTTTAAAAAAAAATCAAGAAACATATATTCTTTCTACCTACAGAGTTTATTCTATAAAAAATGTTAACGCTCCTCCCTCTCACTCACAGGTAGTTATCACAGGTTGCTCTGTGTTGTTCTCAGCACCAAAGGGGCCCCTTTGACTGGGGAGGACGCTGCAGTGGTTGTAAGCTCCAGGTTTTCACGTAAAAAATTGCGCTGTCGAACTGTGGCGGATCTCATGTAACTGCTGGTGGAAATGACTTTTGCTTGCTTTTTAGGTGATGGGGTTTCTGGAGGCAGTCCGTTGACTTCATATGTCCAATGCACTGATGTTGTCTGAAAACAATGAACGAAGACATGATAAATAAAGCACCTTGAAAATTTGACAGTGATTTAATGTGCTGTATGGATTTTAAAATATTTGTTATTTTCTGTGTAAGGAACTGGAATAACACAGAACCCAAACTGCACTCCAGGGGCAAGGCCAATACCCATGCAAAACCATGGACCACATGTAACTTTACAAATTCAGGACAAGGCATAACAAATACAAGCAATTTCCTTTCCTAGATGATCTAAAATCCCTTTTTTATTTAGTGAAGCTTACAGTCTTGTATGTTGTTCAAAGATAATTATTTCATAGTACAATATAAATGTTTCTAATTTCACTGTAGCTCTGATAATGGTAATAATGGTATTGTCAAATGATGAAACTTTTGTATTAGAATAATTAGCAAAACGGAAAGAAAAGGGCTCTGAGTGTGCATATGGGAATTGTGGAGTCATGCCGAAAACTCTAGTTTGAAGAATACGTGAAATAAAAGTGACATTCTCCATTTGCTCTCTGTGTATAACCATTCTCTAGGAATTGAGCATATGTTTCCTTGTCATGTCTTGTAATCCTTGAGTACCTGCTTCTTACTGAGCCCATAATTCTCTTTCTCATTACCCATCTCATCCATGTGTACTTAAGGAGCATTATTTCTATGCATATGAAGGCTATATTGCTATCTCTTATGTGTCATTTAGGTTTTGAAGCAATATTTTGGTTGCTGACAAATGCAAACGTAACTACTGCAGATTCTTGTCATTTTTCTCTCAAAATTGATACCCAGGTCACTTCAATGTTTGAAATCATCTTTTTTTCTAAAGACTTTAGCATCATTCTTCCCATTCTCCCTGTCATCGTATCTATGAAAATATCTCTTCTTGGGTCCTTAGTTTTCTGTTCTTCTTTTCCTTTAAACCAAATAATAATAATAATAAAAAAACCTAAATCAAATTCCAAAGATTTCAATTGGCATGTCAGTGTATCCAGCTTTGTGCTGTGAAAAGAAAAATGCCACTTGAGGCATGCACTGTCTGTCAACTGTTTGTGTGCACTCAGCAGCTGATAATCCCAGGTTTTCTGGTTTGGGCTTTTTTGCTTTCAAAGCACTCGCAGGGAACACTCAGTGAAAATACAGGATGCTGTGGGCATACTAAAATATATTCATCCAAGTGAAAAGCTTCATATTCAGCATGTCTATACACAGAAACAGAACACAATCTAGTCTAAATAATGCACCAGACTCTCATGCTGGTGCAGTCCAATGTAGGACTGTACAGAATTACTAGCTCCAGACCCCAAAGCTGTGTAGTCACATAAAATTAGTGACTTTTCCAAGCTCTCACCATCTGCCTTTTCACATTTGGCACAGCACTGCAAGCACACAGCCACACTGCTTTGGTGCTAGAGCAGGTTTGTTGGTGGCTGGCTTTTGCATCGTGCTGCTTTGAACTTTGGAGATATGGCCTGTAGGAGCACCTTTATTTTTCCCCTGTTCCAACTCATAAAGATTTATTACTAGAACAGTTGGGATTTATATAATACACGTCCCATTTAAAACAAGTTTAATCCTTAAAGCAGTCGTTCACATATGTAACTGTTATACACAGCATCACTCTGTTTTCACCCAGGCAAACTATGGATCAGAGAGGCTGTATATACTCTCAAATCAATCTGGAAACGAGTACAGGAGTCAAGCTTAACGCCCAAGAGTATTTCCCTCTCAAGCCCTCAGTGAGCAATCCAAATTCCACCACAGCTGCCCTTGTGGATCCACTGCTCTTCCCACTTTGGCAGCCAGGCTTCTGCTCTGCCCCAGGGCATACCAGTACTCCAAAATGACTGGGCCTACAGAGAGCATCAGCAGTATCATACAAATAGCCAGTCAGCCTTCACAACAAATTTTTGCATATTATAAATGCCAAAACATATCTGCAGTATATGATGTGTTGACCTGTTTAGATATGTATTGTATTCTGCCAATTAATTTTAATCTGGGTAAATCACTAAATAGGCCGCAGTCAACCTTCTCCATTTCTAATGTCCTTTGTAGTCATCCCATATTTATAATACTAGATAGAAGAAAATAACAAGGATGTTAATATGATTCTTGGATTTAGTTTTCTCTTTTTAGTCTTGTTATATTATGAAGTCTATAAATAGACTTTATAACTTTATATTACAAAGTTATGTATAGTCTATATGTTATAAAGTCTATATATAGACTTTATATTTGCTAGGAAATGTTTCTCTTCAGTGTCTTTCTCCTCTTCTAATCACTAATCCATCATTGCTGAAGTACATTTAAGGGGTATCATTGTCAGCAGTCTTGCATTCATATTGCAGCTATTCAATAAGTGTAATCTTCAGGCCATTAAGTCACAAACCCTTTGGCACAGGTTTATTTTTGCTATATATTTATACAGTATATGTGAGGAAGAACTTCACTGTGTGGGTGCCAGAGCCTGGCAACAGGATGGCACAGGGAGGCTGTGGAGCCTCCTTCTCTGGAGATCTTCCAAACCCGCCTGGATGCCGCCCTGTGCCCCGTGCTCTGGGTGTCCCTGCTGGAGCAGGGGGTTGGACTGGATGATCTCTAGAGGCCCCTTCCAACCTCAACCATCCTGTGATTCTGTGATTTTGTGATTCTGTGATTCTGTATATGGTTACACCTCTTAAATATCATCACCATATAAATCTCTGATTATGTTGCTTATTACCTTTACTTCTGAAGTTTTAAAGTGTATTCTGGCAATTTAATATATGCACTTCTATGCTCCTCTACTTTAAAATCTATTGTGCAGATATCATATTCTTTTAAATGCCCTACAAGAGCTAGAGTAAGCATGAGATCTTAATAGGCATCTCACCATGCACACATAATTTTAAAACTTTTATTACTATTCTGCTAAAATCAAAATCTAATTTAAATTGAATATTATTCCTGTATAAAATAGGAAGATTAGTTCATCCTTATCATAAACCATATTTAATACTCGGCAATCATCCACTGCCTGTAAAGATAAATGCCAGCAAAAGCAGGTGTGACATGGACTAGTATCAGTATTTTCTGCCCAAAGATAATGTTGTCATTTAAGAAAAATAAATCTCTCTCTAGAGCTATCTAATTGTCTTATTAGCTCCAGTAAAAGGCAAAATAGTTTATCTTTCTTTAGTATGTCAGATTAACAATTTAGTTTGAAGAAAATTTAACCCCTGGGTCATATTCACTGTGTGCATGATTCATTGATTGCTTCAAGGTCAGAGAAAAAAATCCGATAGTTGTCTCAGCCAGTGACCTAAAGTGAGTATAAAGTTACTAAAGAACTATTTCTGTTCATGAAACACACACGTATTACAGCTCTACTATTTGTATTGTTATAAATTGTTTAGGGCAGGCTATAAATAAAAGTGCCATCTCTCAGTGGGCTGTACCATCTCTCAATTTCATTTCTCATCAGCATCAAAAAAATGATCCTGCCTTCAGAGTACTGGTGGGCAATATTCACCCCACAATATCTCAGATTGCATGTTTGACAAAAAAAAAAAAAAGCAAACCTTACTGAGAAAAGAAAGAGTGGGAAGTGAGTTAAAAAAAAAAAAAAAAAAAAAAAAAAAAGCATGGCTTGACTTTGGGGAGAAAAAGCTGCCTGTTCTGGTGCTAGTCTACTCTTGGTCAGGGGTGGTCCTGTGGCAGGAAGCAGAGAAGACTTAGCCTCCTGTGACAGAAATACTTGGGCTTAATGAGGAAAATATTGTGGAGAAGGGAATAGGACAAGCAGGGAGTGAAGGAAAAGAAACTCTGCAAGACAGGGTGCCCTCTTGAGGAGCAGCAGATTTAAAAGTAAATTGGAGAGATGAGAGACCTCTTCTGGGATTTAGAAAGGATTGCAAGGAATCTTTCAGCTCAAACATATCATCACCTTTTTATATTACAACTTTTTTTTTAAATTCATTTTATTATTTGACGGGACAATGTTTGCGGTCCAAAGGGAGGTTAAATTTACAACTATCATATGGTGCTCCTGCTTTTAGACAGGATCCATCAAGCTAGAACATACAAACACACACAAAAAAATCACAACTGATTTATCATGTTGGTGATTCCCCACCAAGTTAACGACTTGGTGGTAAATCATGTGCCATCATCCAAGAAGGTTGTAGATATTCCTAGTGGAAAAAAATATGCATCTGTGTGCTTGTTTATTAAAGGAAAGCTCCTTGTTTTAGTTCTGTGTTGTTTCTAAAGCGGAAACAAGTGTTCTTACAAGAATGGAAAACATACTTGGGATAATGCTACAAGATAACCTAGAATTCAGTACTTCTCAGAAAACCTTTTAACACCCATAAATGTCTTTGTTAGAATATTTACTTCTAACTGCAAAGAGTTTTGCAAGAGCTGTTGAAGGCATAGGCATTTTCCCTCAAGACAATACTGTACAGCTTAACCAGCATGATTCTGATGAGCCTGAAAACTGTGGTGAGAGACAGTGCACCCAGTTCACAATCCCAGCAAGTGCCTGCACACCGTAGGAGAGGCAGAAATCAAGTTACACTTGACTTTTCTGGAGGTGGGGAGAAACCTGAGAGACTTTGAAAGGTCACATATACAACCACAGAATTAAGATGAAATATTTGACTTGCAAGCTGCATTCAGATAAGAACTAGATCAAAATTTCCCCAAACAGAGGAATTCCTCTTCCTGTGCTTATAGCAGTGCTGATCATTATAGCAACTGGTAATGGTAGTTAAAAAAGAGATGTCTAAACATAACATTATTAAATATATACGTAATATGCTAGAATTGAATAATAAGATTTTTTTTTTTTCCATTTTTCAGAAGGCGAGTTTCCCCACATTGTATTTCTAGGCCTATTACACAATGCTTTTGTTATTACAGCTTATTTCACTTTCAAGTTTGAAATTTTCTCATGGAAACTATTTCTATTGGCTCTAAGATTTTTTGTTAACACAAATTCAAGATTTTATGGTAATAGAACTGGAAGAA